GAATGAGAAAAGTCTTTGGCTTGTAGCTTCAGGCTAATAAAAGACACAGTTAAGAAAACAGGCAATTAGTACATAGTGGAATAAGTGACACGATACAAGCAGAGAGTGCATTAGGTTGCAGGAAGGGCCCAGTCACCCCAAGTTTGGAAGGCAGTAGAATACTTCTTTTATAATTCAAGATAATTAACGTGTAACTATTATATATTGTGTGCATATATACTCTATCTATTACCTATCTATCTTTCTATGTATCTATCTTTTACTTATCTATCTATCTGAAAGCAAGGCTGATATTCATTCAATATACACTGACTAGCCTCTATTTTGAGTAGTTGAGCTTCTGATTAAAGTGTTTGCTGCTGTAGCAGTTATTAAATGTTTTGAATATCACCCTGGAAATAACTCATATTTTATTACTAGATGAACTTTATAACTATACGTTTCCTCTAAAACCACCATAAGTTTTTTATTTGTAGCTATAGATTAAATTTCTGTGAAGTCACAAATGTTCGAATGGTGAGAACATTGCAAGTTGAAAATTTTATTAAAAGGGGAAAACTCTAGTTTTCTTTGAATAGACTTTCAAAAAAAGTTGAGAATTTGGAAATACTTTAAGCAACAACTTTAAATTTCAGATTTGTTTTTATAAGGCATTTTTTGTGAGCTTATTTTTGTTTCTTTTATCTTTTTTTTTTTTTTTCTTTTTGTCTTTTTTCGTGTCCGGCAACGGATCGCAACCCTCAGTGTCGCGCCCGTACCGGACCGGGACCGGCAACGGGATCGCAACCCTCGGTGTTGCTCCTACACCTTGCTCAGCCAGTGAGCGGGAACCGGTCTGTATGTGGGATCCGAACCCTTGGCGGGAGCGCCACTGCGCTCACAAGCGGTGACCGGGCCGGCCCTGTTTCTTTTATCTTTTACTATAATTTCTTTGTTTCTTTTATCTTATTTTATTTTTGTTTCTGCTTTTGAGAATCACAAGAAAAGTATATAAATACAAATTTATGTTTTTCTTCTCAGGGACACAAAGGTCTCGATGGCCCTAAAGGTGAAGTTGGAGCACCTGGTTCCAAGGTACTTGCATAAAACCTCAATATAACCTCACTATAGCCTTTCAGTTCTGCTTCAAATGTTTACAGATTTTTCAGAACTACTTCAGATAATTCTGGATGAAAGAAGGCTATAAATAAATAAATAGTTAGGTAAATAAATGTAATTTTTCATAGATAGGGCAATGGCTTGACCAGAATAGGTGACATGACCTAACTATGCCACCAAGAATAGCCACCATGGCATTGGGTTTCTGCCATGAAAGATGGGTGTTGTCTTTACCTGAAGATGGCCCTATGAATCTGCTCTCTAAAAGACATTCACTTGTTTTTCTTCTTTAAAAGTTTCTGAGAGATTTAGATGTTTTTTAGCCCTGTTACATAGTACCTTTTAATCCCAGGGCCTTCTGGCCATTGTTTCTTCCCCAAATTGATTTATGTTTCTTGAGGGAGAGAAAAATCAAGGTAATGTAAAGGAAGCATCATAAGATATATATGTGGAAAAGAATTTGGTTTTAATATTTTTATTTCTAAGTCTCTTAGAATAGATTGTAAGGAAATATTACAGTCAATTTTAGCTTGTAAAGTTTTATTTGAGACATATCAGATGTAGACATGTAATTACTTTTTTGAGCTAATTACTGTGGCTATATGTGATAGTTTCCATCAATCTTGCTTAAATCCCCACTTTTATTTTAGACTTATTTCTATAGAAACTAAATTTTTATTGCATTTTAAGAAAAAGTAATAAAATTCTGAGATCCTTCATTGAAAGTACACTTTTAAATGTCCTCTTTGAGAGAATGCCTTTAAAATTTTATACACATGGAACAAAGTGATGTAAATATCAATTGTAAGTTCTCATATTATAGTATAGTCTCATTTTGGCTTTAGGGTGAAGCAGGCCCTACCGGTCAAATGGGAGCCATGGGTCCTCTGGTACGTATTGGTTTCTTTGTTATTTCTTTGCTTTTTAGATTATATTAAAAGAATGTATAAATGAAAAAATTAAAAAGACACAAAGAACATATGTGCTGGTGAAATAATCTTGATTGCTGGCTGACAGACAAGCATAACAAGAGAATTGGACCCTTAGAATGAAAAAGACTTCCTGCATTTTATTGTTTTTCTTAACTTTTGAATGCTCTTATACTTTTTCTATACTCAGTGATCAAATCAAGATTATTGTAGATTCAGCTTGTTAATGCTAGGTTAAGTAAAATCTATTTATGTAAGAGGTAGGTTACACATCTCAACAGGTGGAGAGTTTTGAAAAACTGCTCCTAAAAATATTGCTGTTTGGTGGAAAATTATATTAAGTCTCAACCTCAGTGAGTAGTGTAGTCAAATTATCCTTAGGGTTTAAGTTAGGTACTTCAAGATGTATTTTTTCTTTCTCATCAACAGGGTCCCAGAGGAATGCCAGGAGAGAGAGGAAGACTTGGGCCACAGGGTGCTCCTGTAAGTATACTCTCTTTTATTTATACTGCTGAGATGTGTATTTCAACTCTTTTTCAGGTTTGCTTTACTGAATGTGCCTTTTAAGGAAGATTAACAGTACTTGTTACTGACTTTTTTTTTCTTTTTCTTTTGGAATAATTTTAGATTTACAGAAAAGTTGAAAAGGTAGTATAGTGAGTTCCCATATACCCTGCCTGGCTTTTCTTAATGTTAGCATCGTATATAACCACAGTACATTTGTTGCTTACTTATTTAAATACAAAAATTAAGAAAATAATGAAAACATAGCAGCATGGAATGTAGTTCATAGACAACACGTACTATGGACAGTAATAAAATTATAATAACAGGAAACATTTATCAAGCTCTTGCTATTTGCCAAGCATTCTTCCAAGCAGTTTATTTCATGTTCATCACAATTCTAAAAGGTAGGTACTATGAGTGTACCCTTTGAAAGGTCTGAGTCTCTTGATCATTTGTCTTTGATTTATTTTAATTGTACAGATTAATAAATAACTTTGATGTCTGCTCATATATCTTGAACCTGGGTAGGTGGCATACTACCAGTTTTCTTCACAACTCTCTGAAGGTTGAGCTATGCTAGCTAATATTCCAATCTTGTAGCCCAATACATTGCACCTAGTTTGCTTTTGATAGTTAAGGACTGCCACCTCACCTCTATTATTTCAAGATCATATCATCCCCATTACTATCAGGAATCCCAGATTTACAGCATACCCTACCATTGCCCCTAGCCCACAGAGGATAAACACCTCAGGACTTCTCAATGGTACCAAAGACAGGCCCTGGTTTGGAAAGAGTAAGACCCTCTCAGCAGGCCATTCCTTATTACTTGGGTGACAGAGCATTCTATGGGCATACAGAGAATAATGTAGAATATAGTCAGCTGTTGGCTTATCCAAGTTTACATAGTATATCCAATCTAGTATGTTCACTTTCCTGTGCTTTCTTCTACTATCTGCCAAGGCAGTTCTGGCTTTTCTATCTAAATATGGGCCATTGCTCTTTCTAAGTTTCCAACAGTCATCTCCAATGTTAGTAGTATGTCCCAGGGTCCTTACCAGGGTGTTAAATTGTATATCATGGGAGAGTGCTTCCAAATCATTAAAGTTCTCCAACTTTATATCCTGTCCTTCTTGATCCAGCACCTTGGGATCTACACCCATAAATTCTCTCTTGGATCTTACCTCTACATGATGTTTAGGTCTTAGAGATCCTTTTTATATAATCACGTTTTTTAAAAAAAATCAGGAATAATACTTCCTCAGTCCAGTTATCTTTTGACTTGATGCTAGCAATTGGCCTGATGGCTGGGGATGGGATTGAGGGTGGTGGTTTCTGTTGTTTGATAAAGTATAGGCTTACTGTATCATCTCCAAACAAAGGAGGAGTATAAATTATTAATAGGGAGAATGGGGCACTTCTACAAGCCCAGCAGCTTCAGGGGGTCTGAGATTTCAAAGTTCTTCAGTATGTCAACCCAGATATCCCAATGCCAAATCTCAGGGTCTCACTCCTTCCAATCCAGGACCCTGATCATGACATCACAGACTTTCCAGGTTTGAGAATTCAGTCTTCTCAAGAGCTCTTACACACTTACCATTAAGTCCTGGGCCTAATATTCAGCCTTTTTTTTTTTTACCCCTCTGTGGTTGCAGAAGCTGAGAATCTTTTAAAATACTGCCAAGGAGCCTCACCTTGGTGATTAATCACCATCTGCCTTTCAATTTCTTTCTCCAAAAGACACAATCAGCAAGACATGCAATTCCATTCCCCTAAACCTTCTATTTCCCCTAAACCTTCTCCAATGCCTGAGATATTGCATCTCTAGTCCATTCCTTCACACTTGCGTGCTATCTCAGTTCACCATTGGAGACAATATTTATCATTGTAACACTACATCAATGTCAAGTGTGACCCATACTCTATGAGGAATTTAGCTTAAAAATTTCATTTTAGAGTTTGCTTTCTTGTGCCACTTCTGGGACCAACCAGCTCTGTGTAAATGTGTATTTTTATTGTTAACCCGGTGAAGATTATTGTCAGTTTACTTTAATATTTATTCTTCAATTTTTAATGTGGAAAATTTGTTAAGCAAATGAATTATAAAAAAATATGGTAGAAAATTTAATCTTATCCTCTTTTGTCTCTTTTTTCCCCTAATTAGGGACAACGAGGTGCACATGGTATGCCTGGAAAACCCGGACCTATGGTGAGTTGTATTACTTTCATATTCATTCATTAATTTATTCATTCATTCTTCCATTTGCTCATTCATAAACAAATGGAGCACCCACTATGCTCCGGACACTAGGAAGTAAAAGAGGATAAACACACAGTACTTGTCCTTGAAAACTTCTCTATTGAGAAAGAGAGATATATTAATTAATATTGGTTGCATAATACTATTGCTAACTGCTATAATGTAAAATACAACTTGAGGCATGGGAGCGTAGAGAAGGAAGTAGCTAAACCTACAGTGGAGGAAGGATGTCAAGGAAGACTTTAAAAGGAGCAACTTACAAGTCAAATCTTGACTGATGAGCATATAACATGGGTAAGAATATAGCATGGTCCATAGGAGGAACAGATAAAAAAACATGGTGAGCTGAGGGAAGTGCTAGGAAGGTAAAATTGGATTGGGAAGCAAAAGCCAGATCATGAAGCACTGTATTTACCATGTGAAATGTTTTTTGAGCTCTTTCCTATTGTAGTTAATGAGAGACCATTCAGTGATTTAAACAGAAATGTCATGACTAGAAAGATCATCTGCTGGTAAATGTGGAAGATGAGATAGAGATGACTAAGACTGAAGGCTGCAAGATGAGTTTGAATACCATTGGCATAATCACAGAGAGAAATGATAAAGATGTGAACTAAAGTTATTACAGTCTTTACAGAGGCAGACTGCACATCAATGAACTAAGAAACTTTAATAGACACGGCCCATTAGTTTTTTGGCTTTAAGGAGATTGGTGGTTGATGTAATTTATCTGAGATTGGGAATACAAGAAGAGGAACAAGCTTCTGTTAGTGGATTTGGGTTTAGGATGGGAAGAAAGAAATGTAATTTTGTGATTGGATATGCAGAGTGGAGCTCAGAATAGAGATTTGGATTATAAATATAGGTATGGGAATTTTTAACATACAGGCAATAAATAAAGCCATGGGAGTGAAAGTGTAAAATGGAAGGAGAAATGATGAGGTCTCAGGGTGTGCTAATATTTCATGCACTGTGCTTCTCATGCTCAGTATTGAAAATGCTATTGTATTTTGCTCCAGACCGTCTTATACTATTTTATAGGTTACCTTCTGTAATTATGAACGTTTAGCTCACATTTGAAGATGAAAATCTGAACATTTATTTAGCTCCTGGTAGTAAATTATGAACAAAGGCAGAGTTTTGTAATTTGACAGATTTCTAACACATCACTCACCTTTTTTCTCTCTGCCTTATTTGCAGTAGTTCTAGCCTCAACTGCTGCTCATTAAATGAGCAGAGGCATGAAAGACCCTAAGAGATCTGTGAAGATAAAGTAGATTGTAGTTGTAACCAGTGGCATAAATCAACTCTTTATTCTTATAGTTTCACTATTATTTTGCTTATTTTAAGAACACTTAAATTATATCTCTATAACAAAACAAAACTAGAAATAATTTTTTAAAATAGCCTAAAAATGTAAAGTTATTTTATGAACTATAAGGCAGTTGATTCATTGATTTGATGCTTTCCCCATCAAATTATGTAACTTTAATAGTGATGCCCTGATTTTCAAAAAGAAGGTATGAGTGACTTCCATATATAATTAAGACTGGTTACTAGTAAAATATCCATACTAATAATATAGGCATCATGTAGGTAATCTTTACGTTACTCATGAAAACAGTGGCTCTCAACTTTGGCTGCACATTAGAATTACCTTGGGAGCTTTTTAAAATACTGATGCCAAAATCAGTTGAAACGTATTCTCTTAGAAGTGGACTCAGGAATTAGTAATTTTTAAAGTTCTCCAGGTGATTTTACAGGGTCATTAAGGTTGATAACTGTTGCACTAAAGCAAAAAGTAGGGCTTTGTAAATACACAAATGTATTTATGAAATGTTTTCCATATTCCCATTTTTTCAGACAATTTTATAGTTATTGAACACAAAGTTGTTAGTGGAAATGCACCTAACTGAATAGTCCATGGTACAATTTTATCTTGTTGAAACGGCAAAAATTGAGTCAAGCTCCCAAAATAAATTGTGCTAATAGAACACTAAGGAAAGAAAATATTTGTGTGTGTGTGTGTGTGTGTGTGTGTATGAGAGAGAGAGAGAGAGAGAGAGAGAGAGAATTAGTTGTAGGGTGTATGTAGAGTATATTTATGATCAGTGTGGGTCAATACTGAACGACTGTAAAGGAAGAAAAAATTTAAGCTTTTAGTTTTTCCCATATGCCAAAAGCAGAATACGATTATAGTGACTGAAATTATTTGCTACAAGGATCTTTTCTCCCTTGTTACTACTCATAAATGGAAACAA